ATATGAGTTGAGCTGACGTTTCCATTGAATTTCACAGAGCCTTGCTTTCCCAAAAGTTGTTCTCATCCCGACTGGAGTGGAATGCAGTTTCGACCTCGCATCGGTCTTATCAACACCCTCAGCGGGAGTCGGAAACTGCAGTCCACTGGTGCCTGGATGAGAACAACTTTTGGGAAAGCAAGGCTATGTGAAATTCAATGGAAGCGTCAACCCTACTCATATCATTGTGGAAAAATTATATTTTTACGAGTCCTTCATTGTGTGAATATATCTCATATTAACCACATCATGAGGTTTCTTTCTGTAAATCTGTGGTACATACGCTGTCAAAAATGCAGGGCCAATAATGAATAGGACAGTCAGCCTGTTGGTTAAGGTACAGATTTGAAAGTGACGATGGAAGGTAGGAGCAGGTTGAGTTCGTGTGAAGTTGACGAGAACTCAAACAGATGAGACGGCGGACGACCGGCGATGAAGATAATTATGATCCAGTAACCTAGTCGGAGGAGCGCATACCGTGTGTGAATGGGAACAAACGAGTCTATAATTGGGAGCTCATGGAAGATTTAGCTGTATGAAGTGTGAACGAGTGAGGGACCCAGTTGTGGTTTGGCACGAAGAATGACTCTATTCACGGAGGGCTGTCGTGCATTTGGTGAAAAGCTTCCTTCTGTAGTGTCACGGGAGAGTAGTAGAAGTCACTTTCTTAGAAGCCTCTTTTGTAAACGCGGCCAAGGTATGAGTACAAGGTCAAACCAACTCTACAGAAAGCTATTCATTTGCATTCTCCGCCATGAGATTGGCAGGACAGGAAAGCAATCCAACAGAGCAGGGAGGAGGAACGAAAAGCAGAGTTCAAGATGAACGCATTGGCCGAGATGAGGGATTTTTGCTGAAGGATACCAAATGGACACAAACCGGCCGACAGGAGGAGATAGACGCGAGTAGGCATAACGCATAGCCACCGGCAAACAACCCAAATTCAGTGTCTTGAGCTCGCTTGCCTCTTCGTCGAGCTGTTTAGCGAGAGAGAGGAATGGCTGTACACCCTTTTAGAATAATCACTTTCAAGAATGTATCATGGTTATTGCTAATTCGTGTCAAAAAGGTCAATCCGAACTCTCTTCCCACCATTGAACCTACAGCTCGCAGGTGTCTGCGGAGCAGCCCAGCATTGTTGACCGCACAAGACCGGACCAAAAATGCACAATCTAACTGCTGACCCTTTTACGCAATCGGACGTCGACCAGAAGCATTCATGTCGGTGTGTTCGCAAATAGTGGGTGGGTGGTGGCCGCCGAGTCGCATGGTTCTGGTGCATCCATGCTTGCACACATCATCTACTGCGCCTGGCAACTACACGAGAGGTGATGACTATGCCGGGAGTTGTGGCCGGTCGGAGGCAGTCGCTTAAGGGGGGTTTGCACATGAAAGAGTCAAGAGGGTGCGGCTTACACGAATGACGCGCCTGGGCTTGCGAGGAATGTGATTTGCATAGAGAGATGTGGAAGTAAGAACAAAAGCCTAATCCTTCGACTAGACACACTCTTGTGTCGATATGATATCGTGGGCATGGAGAAATGGAGGAGTACTGTGAATGTCTGACGATTGGCTGCATTTGTTATATGCCCCATCCGCCAATTTCCCCACTGGCTATGCTGTGGGGGAGGGAGCTGACCTGCATACATCTCAGCTCAGTGTATATGGCGAGAATGCGCCGAGGTTGG